CGGAGAAAACCCACCCCAACAGCACTTTGTCCACTACAAATCCCACTTGACCAGACCCTGGCTCGAACCCGGGCCGCTGCTGTGGGAAGCCAGCTACTAACCGCTTGTGCTATGGCGCAGCCTGCGTATGTATGTATACTGGTCTTGTTCTATTTTTTTCTCCTGTTAACTTTAATTTTTCTTGGAATTATTATCAATTTATTGCCATTATATAGACTCTCAAATTTTGTATTTTGCTTTTTAATTATTTTTCAGTATTTCTATGTACTCATGCTAACATTTTAACTGGCCTTTGTGCTATTAAGTTTGCATGTAAATAAAGATGAATTGAATTATTATTATTATTATTAACTTCTATGTGCGTATGTATGTGTATTGTACTTTCTCACCACATAATACAGTGCGTACAATCAAGTGCGCGCCGCGGCTGCAATTTGCCGTGAGTCATACCACCGCAGAATGGATGCAGTCGCGGGGAGTGTTGCAACTCCTCCCCGCGACTGCATCCGTTCTGCGGTGGNTTGCCCTTGTGTAGAGTGTCATATTTTGTTCTTTAATTATTTTTGTGTATTTCTGTGTACTTATGCTAACTTTGTAATTGGACACTGTGCTGTTAAGTTTGCATGTAAATAAACATGAATTGAATTGAATTATTGATTGCATTAAAGTGTCTTTGCTCCAGTGCTTATATTTAATTAGTCTTTGACTTTATGTTGTGTTTGTCCATATGCAATTACTTTTATCTACACTGTGCAGTGTCTGTAATTGGCCTCTAACAAAAATGAGTACCAGCAATCTTCATGGGTGGGGGGGAGTGTAAAGGGTGGCCAGCGCATAAGGCTGACAACCTTCCCGCCATTTGTGAGCTGACTGCCTAGAGAAAATGTGGGAGCCTCGACGTCTGATAACCCTAGGGGCTTCCACAGCCTGTTACAGGGATAGCTTTACCTCTCCAGTTCTTCCCTTTATAAGGAAAAAACAGAACTACTATGGTTTAGTGATTACTTCCTTACAGTATCCACCAGATTTGAAAATACAAACAAGTTTACACAGTATCAGATTTTAATCTTTCACAATGGTGAAAAATCTTATTCTGGTCTCCTAAGTTATGACAGTGTGTTGCTTGGTAGATGGTTACCAGAGAACATACTGCCCCTGGCTTGAACAGACCGGCAGAAAACTTTGGTAACCATGTCATAAGCCAGAATACCATTAATGAATTTTACATAAAAACTTATATCAGGCATAGTGTTACATTGCAGCATCCTGTTGCACTGCTTAGATCTGACATTGTGTTTTGCTTTGATGCCGTCTGTGTGCAACGTCAGTTAACATTCTCTCACAGTTTTCTCTTTGTTGCCACTACATGTTTTGGCCTAACTGACCATCTTCAGGTGTACAGGTTGTTGTGATCAAGGAACCTGCTGCTCACTGTAATGCTGTTCTGTTTCTGTTATGTAGAGGCATCGGATTGCATCTGGTTATGTGGGCTAACCATCCATTTTTTATTTAGGTGTCCTTGAGCTGGGCATATTTGTTGTGCTGTGGTTGGCGATCAATATAACAAATTCCCGCCCCAGCAAGAACATTCAAGAAAGCCACAGCCAAACAAAACCATGAAGCAAACACCAGTAGCTCATCTGAGGCCTCCACATAACAGGAACAAAACAGCTTTACAGACACAAAATCGGATGATATTATGCATATGTGTTACCCTCCCACATGCAAACATAGTAAAGCAAGAGAGGCAGTTTGTGGGACAAGTAAGTATCAGCCTGACATGGTCACACACATCAAACTGACATTTCTTCCTGTAATACTGTAATAGTATCTTCCTCTCATGTTTTTGTCTTGATATGCATAGATTTTCACTTCAGTCTTGACATGTCCAGATTTTCACTTCAGTCTTGACATGCCCATATTTTCACTTCAGTCTTGACCTGCCCAGATTTTCACTTCAGTCTTGACATGTACAGATTTTCACTTCAGTCTTGACATGCACAGATTTTCACTTCAGTCTTGACATGCACTGATTTTCACTTCAGTCTTCACATGCCCAGATTTTCACTTCAGTCTTGATATGCCCAGATTTTCACTTCATTCTTGACATGCAGAGATTCTGGTGGCACAGCTGCAAGAGAAAAGGCTATCTGAAAGAGCCATACATGGATGATAGGACAGTATAATGGACGTCAGAGAAATGGTGTAACTTGCTCGTTATGACTGTACAGCAACAACTCCTTCCTCTTATGACAGACAAGTCACTTGAGGTCTCATGCTGGTGAGTCACAGGCCTGAAACAATTACATGAATAGCATTAAAAAACAGATTCTGATTTGCATGCAAATCTGTACGTACAATTTCAAACTTGATCCAATTTTAATTTCAACAAAATGTAAAACTTCTATGTGGCTTGTAATGACACAAAAATTTATGGTTACATATCATACCTGCATGATAATACTTGGCATTCCCCCCTCCAACACACACAGACACACAAAACATGTTTGCTTGTACTCTCAGGTTCAGTTTTTGCCTCAGGATTTAAAAATGCAGTGCAATGGTAAATGTGTGAGACTTTTGACAAGCTTGTCAATACAGATCAAGTATTTGCTGGTATACATACTGGCCTAAAGAAAAGGTACTAATAATACCCATACACTAAGTAAATTTTGTTCAAATATATCTCCATATTAGAACACTGTAAAAATATATAAGAGTAAAGACTTCAGCTCCTTAAAAATGGGAAATTAATTTCCATTCCCTTACAAATGGAAGCCATGAAATACTGCACTACTTATATATCAAAAATTTCATGGAAGAACTTATGCTTATTTTCCATTTCCAAATTCCTGTCCAACCAAAATTCCCAGTCAATAATTATATAATTCTGTCCTCTACATTTCAAGGCAAAACACCATGATATCCATAGCCCCGTTTGTAATTTTTCACTGTTTCACAAACTCTGATGTCAATACAGCTTTTATAAAATGCAATTATCTAGATTAGATTATTAGTGGGGCCGAAATATTGGTTCTAGAAGAACCGGAAACAAAATGGAACAAGAATATTCAAGCACAATAACAAACATCAAGGACAATCAGCTCATAAAATGAAAATGATCTTCCCCAGAACTTGAGTTATGTATCAGTTCCATCATTACAAAAACAGTGTTAACATTCTGCTCAACAATTAATAAAATATGGCTACAAACCACTCAAAAAAAAAAAAGACTATGCAAGGCATGGAGAACTGATGGGGGTCAACACAAACTTTCATACTGGAAAATTATTTTCAAAGAAAGTAACTGAAACAGTGTAGCTTCATTACTTACATTTCACTATGACCAAGTTCATACTTACCAATACAGAAAAGTGTTTAACACAAAATTTGTATCTACTTTCAAACTCTCCTACAACGCAAAATTTCATGAGCCAAATACAAACTAATCTATACTGTGAAGTGCTGTTTCGCAAGTACCTGTAATAATATTACTCTTTTCTTCTAACAAATAACGAATCATATAAACCTGCATAAGATTTCTAAGAAGTCCTTCCCTCTCTCTCCAATATGATCCCATAATGGCATACTTCAAATTCTCAATTTCTAACACGAATATTAAGAGTAGGCATTATTTTGCATATAAAATCAGTATCTATAACTTTGTCATCACATGACATATCTGTTTCTTTCCACAGCATACTAACTGTAGTTTGTTAATTCTTTCGGGCACAGTGACGGGCTTGCATTTACGTTCAAAACCACCTCAAAGCTGAAGTACTGACATGTTCAACCACAACCCAACTGCAGAACTGCAGCGACTACAGCTACACCTCTAATAAGAGTCTATATGATTCAAATTTATATATTCACGTAGATTTACGATGAACAATATTTGTCAAGTACACTCGTCGCCTGCTTACTGAATAAATTTATATCAAATCATCACAGCATACACAGAAAGCTTTTACATTACAAATATATCACAAATGTAACATCACACTACGTCAACGTACGTAAATATTACCGAATATTAATAATTAATTTACATCCTGTAACCTTAATTGAATTTAACATAACCCTCCAATCTGACCAATCTGACAAGCAAATCAAAACTAATTCCACAAACATAGGTAGCGTAGCACTTACCACGCTTACCACTACATCACACTTTTCCTGTTTGAAGCGAACTGTGTTGTGATTGGCCCAAATTCTGCTACGCTTACAGCGATTGTGATTGGTCGATATAATCACGTAGCTTGGCGATTGGCCTTTCGTGACATCTGTCGTCGGGATTTTGACACTATCTGCAGATGGAGGCAGGTTTTGAACTGCTTTTGTATATTGCTAAGATACATTAGATCTCAGCTGACTAGCCTGGATAGGTACGCTGTTTTCAGGCTAGGTATATATATATATGCCTGTTCCACAGTCATTAATCTAGCCACTTCAAGTCCCCATCAGAACCTAAATTCTATGATAATTAGACTGTTCTTGGGCTGGATAAATTTTGGCCTGCTTGCTGTGGGTGAGGGATGGGAGTAATGGGCTATTTAAGCCTGGAAACATGGGAAAATTAGGCTTTTATCTTGCCTTAGCTAGGGCTCCTGCTAGTCTGGCTTAACTATCCTAGGCAAGACTCACGGTGGCTGAATGCCCTGGCTGTCCAGTTCAGTGCAGGATCAAGTCAGACTGAACATCTCACACTAATGCTAGCTAGATTAGGCTCAGGCTACATGACTGAGGTGGGGTATCTTTCTAGGTTAAGGACTATGGAAAACTTGGATAGGCTGTACTGGTAAAGAAAAGAAAAAGAAAGCTAAATCTATCCCATTAACAGGCTGTGTAAGCCGGTAGTGTTGTGAGTCTTGAAGGCTTCAGCATTTTATAGGGAAGAATCAGTAACCATGTGTATGACGTCTGCACTCTTAACTTATAAAATACGGGCAGAAATAAAATGTATATTGTATGGGCATATCTGGTATCAGAAGAAACTTTTATTCAATATGAAAATAAAATTTATTTCCTGAAAAATCATACTCTTGAAGCAGCTGTATATTCATATTTCACAAAACTGCAGAAAATATAAGATGGTAGTTTTTCCTGGATTTCATCCTTGTGAACAAAGCAATATCCACTTGTGTTACAACATGAAACAGGTTGAGAAGTACAAACTTACAGGATTCTTCAGCAGTTTCACAGTAACATTCCTTCTCTAACAAACATCACTACTCAAAGTCGCAGATATGGTTCAATGTCAGTCAGTATCTACATGAGTGTGAACATATTTGTTCATACTCATGTATTCCAGAACAAAGAGGAAGATATGCCACTTTCTGATGTGATAAGAGCTTCAGAGAGTTTACAAATTAAACAAAGCATTACAAATCTTACAAATTCTTGATAGAGGTCTCATTTGACTACAGTAATGCAGCCAGGGAATTACAAATAGCTTACCTCAACCCTGTACGAAAGGCCAAATCTCTTTTTCCATGTTAATTTGTGTTGTGTCATGTTTCTGACACATCATAGTGAATCGCTGATGTAAATGGAGCTGTTTATACACAGCAACACAATTCATTAATGGTTCACTAAGAATTTTTTCCATGATTGTTTGTGATATACCACTTTTTTATATATTTTAGTACACTACTGATTTAAATAGAGCTGTTCCCACACAGCCACATGAGTGATCAGTGGTTTGTTAACATATTTACTAAGAAACTTATGAATGTTCCCACAAGTGTACATTTGGTACTAAAAATTAAATTACAAAATCTTGATTTATATGTTTTCATTTATACTGAAGATGAATCTATCCTATTAATTAGTACAGTAAACCACAGTTACTTGGCATGTATAGATAATGGGGTCTGCCAGTTACATGAATCTGCTTCTTTCATGAGAAAAGTTCTTGCAGAGACCTAATTTATAATCAAAATATCACATTCTTGCATGGACTATTCCCATACAATAATGCAGATTGACAGGTGAAAGATTTTGAATTCACAAGATCACAAATTCAACTAGCCTCTGCATAATGGGTAGTACTGCTAGTAGAAGCTGGGAGGACTATTGTATAGTGAGTGAAAATACACTCATAATTATTAATTATTTTAATGACTTTATAATTTTCTTAGCAATTTTTACCAGCTGAATGAAAATCCTGGATGCCTCGATACCAGACAAACAGGAATTTACTGTACTTCTAAATCTGTAACTCCAACTCAGATGGTATACCTACTTCTTTCTATGGATCTACAATAATATTTTCATTCTGGTACACATTCACAATGTACACACCCCTTTTACTGTCACACATCATGGAGAGTGAAAATCAGCACACAGTCTTGGCATCTTAAGAAGAAAAGTTTTTACAGTTTCTCATAACGAACTGTCACAGGCAAGATGGTAAAGCCTTAAAATAATGTCCTATCTTCAAATTAAGATCTCTGTGTCACAGATGGCTCATCTTCACGGCAATGTTGGATCCATGAATCTTCTAAACGCTGTTACCTCCAGCTATCTGACATCAGTCTTCTCTTAATGAGGTTCCAAATAAATTGGAGTGATATTCAAAGGTTTGAATTTTCTGAAATAAATAATATTCCCTGTATTAACAAATCACATGTAACTGATAAAAATAACTGTCATGCTTGTTCATAACTTCATTGTTACAACCCTTGAACATAAAGTATTGGAGTCAGAAACAGGTATGGATATAGTCCCAAAAGTAGAAAGCTGCAGCACTCTGGCACACAGCTCCAAATTGAAATAAATGGACAGGAATCTTGATTTGAGGTAGTTCTTGTGATTAACATAATGCTAAATTTGCTTTTTTAATTACAGAAACCTTTAAAACACTGATCATGAAAACGGTGTCTTTTAAAGAGGCTGAGAATTTTATCTCAGGCATAGAGATCAAAAATGAAATAATGTAAAAGGGTTTTTACATTTAAAGTCTGTAAACCTTCAATAAAAATACTTTTGAAATGATCCTTTCAAGAATTTTCATGAATACAGAACTGTATTATTGAAGCAAAATTGTAATCTGTGAAGAACAACTGAAAGAAGCGTAGATTTTAATAACAAGTATTGAAGTTTGACAACACTGTCCATAATAGAAGTGTTAGGGCAGTGCCCTAGCACCCAAACAGCAGCAGGGAACCATCCTGGACCACTCTCAATTAACTGCAAACCTAAAAACACGGTATAATTTTGGAACCAACTTATATCAAACTATGCAATCTGAGATGCATGGGACAGTGAATACTACAGTCTTCTGGTGTGTGATGGCATATAGCTTGTTAAATGCCAATATGACAGAAGAACCTGTCGCCTGTCATTATCAACTGCTCAAAAAACAGAGGTATTCAAGTTCATTTAAAGAGATGGTAAACAGTGTCCAAATCATCTCTGACCATACATCAAACCTTGGGTAGGCAACCTTATGAAGAAAATGAGATCTCCAATAACATGATTCAGGTTCCAACTGTGTGTTGAAAAAAGAAACTAGTTAACTTCTGATGACAATGTAACAATCTACAGTAGGATATGATGATGATGGACCCTCAAAAGGATTAATCATTTCACTGAGACTTGTATTAGCACTACAGTATTCATATTTGTGTTTCTAGAAGTATTACTCACGAATACTCTGAGTTTGGCACTCCAATGACAAGCATTTCACTGCCCTTCATGTGCAGTCTCCACATACTCTTGTTATAACCTCGAACATCAAGGTCCCAGATTTTGAAGCACTGAAACAATTTGCAGAATAATGTTATGTGAGTACTCCATGAAGCCCAATGAAACATCAACATAGGAATTTGTATCGTAACTGAATACAGAGCAAAAGCTCACTCAAGAAAGTAACTTCTACGCACGCTCACTATGTTCTGCTTTGTTGCAAATACCTATTTCAAAACCTTGAATGTACTACAAATATACAATACATATGTAATGGGGTACTATACATGGGAGGATAGGTAAGCACAATGAGGTGCTGCTCTCTAGAGGAATGTTATGTCCATTATTCATCAGAGGAGGTAGGGTGAAGAGGAGGTTGATGGAAGTAGGGGAAAGAAGAGGTATGAAGAAGTGGCATGAGGAAGAGCATGGTGTGGTAGAAGTCAGAAGGAGAATGGGAAGGTTGGAAGTGAATGAGGGGGAAATATTGGGTGGAGGAGGTAGGGTGACAAGGAGGAAGAGGGTGGAAAAGGAAGCAGGAATAGAAAGACGTGTTTGGAGGAAGAAGGCAGAAAGAGAAGGGTTAGCTCTCTCTACCAACAGCACAGCATGTCTGAACCATTACCTTGGCTACTTGCAGCCACATTACAAAGTCTTTCGGTCCTTCCGTTTTGACGAATGTTATTATGATTTCACCTGGAAACAAAGAAGAAAATATACAGACACATATATAACTTACATCTTATTAAATATTCAATTGGCCTTAAAATAATGAACATGTTGTAATGAGAAACAGACGTATGTATTTGTACGGTTTGAGGTTTTCACAGCAATGAAGACTCATTCTGTGATATCTGTGTTACATTACATTGTAATCTGGAAGTCTGGTCCTAGTGCTTCGGTGAAACATGCTACTTCCATCCTCAGGGTTGAATATTCAAGATGAACCCTCTTCCTCCAAATCATTCGTAACCACCAACATTACAAGAAAACAGTGTCATAATACAGACATCACCATGTGAGCAAATGTATTTCATAAATATCAGAGAGTATGGGCCATTGTAGTTGAACGATTTTTAAAATAAACAAAACACAATAATGATTAAATATATTAGAAAAAAAATACAAAACTGATGCAGTAAATATTTTATTGTAAATATTGCAGTAAATATATTCACCTTTTTGTCTGGTATGAAGTTCTCCTCACATGGTGATTTGCTGTGATCCAAAACAAGACCTCTCTTGATCATGTCCACAATTAACTCTTCATNGATCATTATCATGCTCAACATGATTTACAGACACAAATACATTTTCACTTTTTTGAAATTTGGTACTAAATTGTGTAGCCTATGTAGGATTATCAATAGGAACACTATACTGGAGACCTTACTGTTCACACAGGACATTTCTTCTGTAAGCTTATGTTTTCTGCACCCCAAAAAGATATTTTACAGAGAATCTAGTACTATATAAGGTGAAAATAAAGACTGGTACAAAGAATAACCAACAATGTTATAATGATATCATACCAATACATTTCAAACTTGTAGTCATATTCTCCTATATGATAATTATAGATAAAATATCCCTGTTACATGTATTTATTTATGCAACTAGAGATATACATATATGTTCGGGCTGAGGAGGTAGTTTCAACTGCATTTCAAGGAATATTCGGATTATGTGACTGTACCGAACTTGACAGAACATCATTAATCGGTTAATTACTGTAGATACATACATATGTATGACACTCATGCATTTCATTATGAAACCCTTTGGTTTTTAGCTCAGGATATTTTTTCAATAAAGGCCGTTTAACTATTAAGGGAGGCTTTGTTTTTCATTTGAACTGTTTAGTTTATACAAACAAAAGTACCCATTCATGGTCCAGGACATGGTAACTTTTCTTGTCAAAGTCACAATATATAGCAGTCAAAATTACATAGAAGGGATAAGAGTCAAATAACACATATGATGAACATGGTTCATATCTTAATAAAGCATACTCATCAGATTAAAACCTGAGTATGAGGATTCCAATTTTATTCAAAACTTTATTCATCCCCGGTGCTAGGTAAGAGAATTAGAAGATGACCAGTAAATATGGGTGATCACTTTTTATGGTAATGCCTCAAAATGTATTGAATTTGAAGACCTCATGCAGTAGTTATGACATTAGTCAAGCACCAAAGATTAAACTTAAGTGTGATGCCCCAAATTTGAGATTAGAGAGGGTATTCCATCATCTAAAAGCTAGAGACTTGCGAAAGGAGTTTCGCAGCTATTACAGTAAATTGTAACACCAGGACTGGCAAGTAGGCTAAGAATGCGTGGGATCAGCATTCATACGTAAGAGCACCAGCCAGCGCTTGTCTCACTGGGCCACTGGAATATCGTAATATTGCGGCAGACACAGCAATCAGACGCAAGGGGTCCGTCCCCAACCACCCATGAGAGCCAATGAGGAGGTTATTATGAGGATTGAGGACACTGAGGGGAAGTCACCCACCCTCTTACGTCAAGGCTGAATCAGCGAAATAAAACCATAAATTAGGGAATTTCGGGGGACTTGGGATCATGTTCTAACAGAATATTCAGTTGTCAGCCGGAGGCTCTGGACGACATGTATTCCATAAGAGGGTGGACAACGGCAGTAATCTACATTTGTCTTGCAAGTAAGTCTTTTTGCTCATATACGCCATGCTGTTAAAGGTTGTGTTAATACAAGTGTTATTGTGAGATAATGAGGCAGTATCCAGTGAACCAAGTGAGAGTCAGGGTAGAACAGGGTAGGAATGAATGTACAGGAGCAGACGAGGATAGGAGTGCAGTCAGGGCACCTCCCCTTCACAACTAGGACGGTAGAATGAGTTTAGCGAGATATGTCATGTAACAGATAAGAGCAGGCCTTTTTATTAATGTATTTATGAATGTAAATAGACAAGTGTACATAGTGGAGAATGTACGCAGGGAGTTCTGATTCGCCCATTAGTAACCATCCTGTCCTCAACCCAGCCCGAGCTCCCCTAGCCAAGACCGCCGACGGCAGCCGAGTGCAACANGTTTACGACATAACTAGTGGAGGCGAGGAGGGATAACTCCACGCCCCCCTACTGGCGGAGTTACGGTGGTGACAGAGGCGGGCTGACTCCCCGCCCCCCTGCACCACGGCATTACAGCGGCGGCAGCGGGTGGGATACCTCCATTCCCCCCCTGCGCCGCTAGGACATTACATTAAGGATACTAAGATAAGCTCTTTTAATTTTTCACCAAAATATTAGAGGTCTACAACATAAAATTGATGAACTGATTTGTATGTTAATTAGTCATGACTTAAGCCCACATGTAATTTGTATAACTGAACATTATTTAACTGAGCAGAAACTTTTATTGATTAAACCAGAAAATTATTGTTTAACTTCCCAATTCTCACGATCATTAAGTAATGGTGGAGGTGTTTGTATATATTGTAAATTGGATATCGACTGTAATCCCATTGATATAACACAGTATTGCATGGAAAAGGTGATTGAGGCCTGTGCAGTCCGATTAAATATTGGTAATAATTATTTTATAATACTATGTATTTACAGATCTCCTTGTGGAAATGTAGAGGAATTTATTAAGCAATTCAAACTGATACTGAAATTTGTTTACGAGCCTAGACTTGAATTAATAATATGTGGAGACTTTAATGTAAACTTTTTACAGAATTCAAGTAAATCTCTTCAGCTTATTTCACTATTTCAGACGTACAACCTGTTTCGGGTTGTCAAATTTCCAACTAGGATTACAACTGATACCAGTACTGCTATTGATAGTATATTTTTGGATTACAGCAGATTAATTACTTTACAGGTGTACTCAGTAATCAGTGGGTTTTCAGATCAGGATGCTCAGTATTTGACTGTTAGTAATGTAGTGAACCACCAAACGAATAAGAGTGGACTAGTTAAAAGAAGAGTTATATCTGAGTGTGGCATCATAACTCTTCATGAGATGTTGAGTAGGGAAACCTGGGAAAGTGTTTTAAGTACTCTTGATGTTAACAAAAGTTTTAATCTATTTTTAATATCTTTTTAATGATTTTTGAAACATGTTTTCCAGCGAAATTTGTCAAAAATAATGTGTACTCTAACCAGTGGATCACTAAAGGAATTAAAATTTCATGTAAGTGAAAAAAGTATTTGTATTTCATGATTAGATCTACTAATTACCCAGGCTTAGAGGAGTATTATACTCGATATTGTACGTTGCTGAGAAAAGTTATCAGAAGAGCTAAAGCTATATATTATGAGGGAATAATAATGGCTGCATCTAATAAATCGAAGGAGTCCTGGAAAATCATAAAGAGAGAAAATGGTAGAGAGTCGAAGAAAAAACACTCATATTCGAAATTGAGAGAAGGTAAGGTAATAATCGATAGTAGGAATGAAGTAGGAATGTTTTTTACCACTTTCATGTGAGTACTCTACAGATAAGATTTCTGAAATTGTAAATATTCCAATTACTGAGGCAGAAGTATTAAGCACGATAAATTCATTAAAAAATAAACCTTCTTGTGGATATGATGGGTTGTCAAATAAAATTATTAAATTATGTGGTGAACAGATAGCAAAACCACTTACTTATATTTATAATCTTTCTGTAAGTTCGGGTATGTCCTGACCGATTGAAATATGCAAATATTATACCATGTTTTAAGAAAGGTGATGTTAATGAAATTGCCAACTATAGACCAATATCTTTATTGACAAGTTTCTCTAAATTATTTGAAATATTAGTGTTTAGCAGGCTTAAACAGCATTTTATAAGAAATGATATCCTGGCTCCTGAGCAGTATGGCTTTCATAAGGATGTTTCTACACAAACCGCATGCTTTAATCTAACTGATACTGTTCTTAAAGCATGGAACAATAAGGAGTTTGGGGTAGGTATTTTTTGTCATTTGACAAAGGCCTCTGATTGTGTCAGTCATGATCTGTTGATTCAAAAGTTGCAGATATATAGAGTCAAAGGGCCTATTTTGAAATGGTTGGCGACTTATTTAAAAAAAAAAAGAATGCAAAGAGTTGTGCTGCATACTTGTAATTCGACTACTACAATCTCTGAATGGAAATCTGTAAGGTTTGGTGTTCCACAGGGATCTGTCCTGGGACCAATGTTGTTTAATGTTTATATTAATGATATCCCAGGTACTCTTAAGGATACAGCACGTACTATTTTGTACGCGGATAACACAACAATTTTAGTTACCTCAAATGACCTAAACTCTTTGAATATTAAATTAAATAGAGTTATGACTAGGGTTTCAAGCTGGTTTTGAAATAGCAATCTGATGCTTTATTTGAGTAAAACTCACCTGATTAAATTTGTGACTCCTAAGTCTCCAAAGTATACATTATTGGTAACATATAATAATTTTAGACTTAAAGATGTTGATAATGTTAATTTTTAGGTATGCATTTTGATTGTCAACTTAATTGGAAAAATCAATCTGAAAAATTATTAAACAAACTGAATACAGCGCGTTTTATGCTCAGGAAGTTACAGTCCCTTCTCAGTGAACAAGCTCTTCAAATGGTCTATTTTTCTTATTATCAGTCTCAGCTTGATTATAGTATTATATTCTGGGGTTCTTCTCAGCTTATAAAAAGTTTATTTGTTGCCCAAAAAAGAGCAGTTAGGGTTATGCTGAGATTGAGTCCTGGAAACTCATGTAGAGGTTTTAAGAGGTTGGGTATTTTGATGGTTCCTAGCCTATATATCTATTCTATATTGATGTTTGTTGTCAGAAATCGCAATTTTTTTCAAACAGTAATATTCATCATATAAACACTAGACAGTTTGGAAAGCTACATGTGTCATCAGTGAGATTATCTTCAATCCAGAGAGGCGTGTTATATTCATCCATTATGGTTTATAATAATCTTCCTCAAAATATACAAAGGATGAGTGATAATGTGAAGATTTTTAAACGCATATTGAAAAGTTTCCTCACAACAAATGCTTTTTATTCAATAGATGAATATATTTCTGCTAAGCATGTATAACATTTAATAACAACTATTCCTTGCAATTTTGTTTATGAATGACAATGTAAATTATGGTTATTTGGTGCTTTTGGTTGTGTGTGGTTGTTTGCTGTTGACACGATTGTACTTCTGCAATCAAGTCTTATTTTGATGAGTTCAATATCCGATCCAATTTGGACAACGGATCAGTGAATTTATGAATTATATATGTATGTATGTATCCTTGCACATTGCTTTAATATTTGTAGCCATTCAACATACTGGCACAAATGCAGAATAAATTTCGTAATACCTTTGAGTGTTATGTATTAGATTTGTTATAACAAACAGACAAGAAAGTTACAATTTTATCTGTTACATTAATGAACTGGTTGGGAGATGCTAAGAAACAATTCAGATTTAATAAGAATTGATTACAGTAAACATGTCATTCACCTAGATTTCAATGTACTACATGAAAAGTTTTGGATCACTGACAATCTTACACGGGGGTCTCACTGTACAATCAGACAAACAGAATTTCATATAACTGTTATTTGGACTAAATTTATAAAATCTTAACAGTGTTCTGGTTAAGATGAACTGAGGTATTCCTTTACACATGAATGTCTATATCTTTTGCTTCATATTAACTAAAATGCTTTCTTACACAGGGACAAAAATTATGAATATGCATTTGTTTCCATAAATTATAGAGAAACGTCAACTAAATTAAGAATAATATCCATCACCTGTCAACATGTTTAAGCTTCACATATGGCGAGGTATTGAAAGAATGTTTCTTGAAGTAGATGTCTTGGAAGTAGGAATTCATGTTCAGACCTGAAGCACCGAAATGGTACGTCTGTGACACATCTGGAATCACACACTCTCTGCCTTTCTGAACCTCAGGTAGCCGCATCCACATATCCCAGTCCCACATCTGGACATGTAACACAAAACATAATTCTTACACTGGCATTATGATCAAGAAAGTTATTTGATCCCAAAAATGTAATCCATGTAACTGAGATACAATTATAGCTTAAATTTTACCTCACTAAAATATTAATAGTTGTTCTGGGAAGAATTTATAGCACTTTCTTCATTTAAGTATGATATATTTTTCAGCAGTGACCAGTTAATTACAAATAATTCCAAGCCTCAAATTGTTCAAAACTGCATTCACCAGTTGATAAGAGTTCCCAATCCAAACAAAAACAGAAGTAACAATGAAAACAACAAAAATGACAACAAATACAATAAAAAGCAACCCAAAGAATTACAACAAACGAGAGCATAAAAAATATGCTACATAAAGTCCAGAAGCTTGAGGGCATCTGGGCTACAAATAGGTACCAACTTCTTGGGAAGAAATCAGTAACCTGCATTTTCACTTAGACCATGAAGATGAAGGCAGCAGATTCCCCATAAATGCTGATACCTGTGTACTGAATGATACAGTGTCATAACCCAGAGATCCGTAATCTTCATATTTACCTCTTTCGAGAACTCCAAGCTCATACGCATATGGCAAAGGTTTCCCTTATCCTTAACTGAAATGTACTTTGAATTATATGTAAAGGTTCAAGTCTATGTCTCATCCTTTTAGATATATTCCAGTTAAAGTTCCACTAATTCTATAGTAACAAAATATACTAAACCTTCTCAGGTGTTGGCCATTTGGATTCCAGCTCATCTTTATAGAGAGCTCTTTTAAGGATCCATCTGAACCCTGGCATGGTTTCCACTCTGAATAACAAGCTTGGATCACTGCAGGTGTGCTCATAACCCTGGTCATTCCAGGCGGAGATGCAGTAAAGTGTCTCGTCCTCCTCCAGCAGTCTCTTAGTCTGGCTGAAGTAACTGCAATGTACACACTGTACCAATATTCATATTAATCTTACACATTTGGCAAACATTCCATTTCTTGGATTAAAATGATGCGACTTCATGAAGCAAAGTCCTTGAAAAGCTAACAGTCTTATCATCTGGCCATGAAATGACTTCATCTTCTCTAACCTCTGTATTCATTACAATACTCATAAGATTTTGCAGCTGGACCTTGTCATTAACCACCTGAATCAAGTGCTCAACCTCAAACCTTCTTTTTCAATTTTATGTTCACTGTATAGTTCTCCCTAGTGATGTCTTTCCTTTACTATATTTGAATGCATTCATCCATCTCACACTGCTACATGCCCAGCCTATTTTATTCTCCTTGATCTGAAACACACAGGTTGAAACTGTTCAAGGTTTAATCTGGATAGGAGACAAATGATCACTATAAAACTGTATACAATCAGACTTTAATTGTACAGATGTAGTCAGTTCTATGAAATGTTTCAGTCACTGAATGACCACTATCAGGTGGATACTGGTGAATAACCAGGAGTTTACTGTAGTGACAGCATATTTTTTTGTACACAGCCATTGCCCATTTCACTAGACACCAAAACCTGTAACCTGTGTGTAGTTGGGGGGAGGGGGTATGTTTTTTTTTTATAAAAAGTTATCAACTCCATCCAGTGTGATGATAATTTTTTTCTCTCCTTTTTAATCTTTCGTCCTTGGCTTGTTCCCGTCTGGTAGACCATCTTCAGAAGCATTCAGAAGAACATACTATACTATCGGAAAATACTATTACAATGTAATTGGTCAATATCGATCGATATCGATACATTCATACAATATCATTTCGATTATTACGGTCAGTTTCAACGCCGTACAACTCTCTTCTTATTGGTGGACGGAATGGCAGCCATGACACCTGGTACAATGCTGCTGCCATCTCTACGCATTCGTCACTAACTAAATGCAAAAATGTCCGCCAGAGCCAAGAGCACAAACGGTAACGAGGTATGCTAGCATATCACCTCCTTTTGGTTGATCCTCGCTCCCCCCACCCTCGCACACACATATGAAGGCGTTTTTCGCTAAAATAACAATAAATAATTTTGCAACCAGATCTCTTGCACTGCTGGGGTTCTAACCCCCCCATTTTAACTGTGTTCAGTAACATTTCACCCATATTCTTTGGAAGGGATATGAGTGAAGTGATATTAAACCTGGTTCCCCCCTAAAAACGTAGGAAGAGCATCTGCAGTACATAAGATCAGGTTGAAAATTATCTATCTGGAGAAAGTTTCTCACCAGTGCCTTGAGAGTCATAACCTTTCTTTGACATCACACACCTCTTCATCCAAATGCACTGGACATTGCGAACTGTAACAGAGCTGAGAGCACAAATGGTAAGAAGGTATGCTAACATATCACCTCCTTTTGGGTGCTCCTCGCTCCCCCCCCCCACACCTAGGAAGGCGTTTTTCGCCTTAGCGGCCTTAGCCGCTTTTTTCACCTTTTTACGGCGAGTGCACACCAAGGAAACTGACAACCGTAACGCAGCTGCAACTTCCGAGAATTGTTATTAGCCTGACTTCAACAAACGTTACTGAATGGTGCTGCGCAAATTGACGAAACGACAAAGCAGTTTCCTCAATTTGAGCTGCTCCATTCATATTAACACGTGTTCAACACAGGCTGACAACAATTCTCGGAAATTGTGGTTGCGTTGCGGTTGCCAGTTTCCTCGGTATGCCCTCGTCCTTAATCCTACACACAGTTGGTACGACTCCTTGGACGGGGGATTAGCCCGTAGCAAGGCCGCTACCTACACACAGAATAAATGCACACAGATATCCATTCCTTGAGTGGAACTCGAACCCACGACTACTTTATTCGAGCGACGAAGACGGTTCATGCCTTAGACCGCGTTGCCACTGTGGTCGGCTGACCAACATGCAGTTACAATTAATAATATATTAATTTTTCGATTACATATGTTATTCCGAATGGAATCCTTTTGGGCTGAAGAGTATTAACGGATGTAAATTTCCAGTAGTGGAAATGTCTGGTAGAAATATTCAAAGAGTAAAAGCAGAAATAGTTGGAAAAGTAACAGAACAAGTAAAAGGTTAAGTCGTCCCCGTGCTTAGCTAATTAAGCACCACGCCATGAAGACGTATGGGAGAGTGGATGCATAGACCCATGTTGTCTTGGCCTGGGCACTAGATGGATATCAGTAATCAGCTTCATGCCCCGGCGGCTTTACTCCTGAGGAAAGAGCTCCCGTTACCCGTTGAATAGGAGGCTGGGTAGGCTCCGAAGTCAGTCACAATTACATGGAGAATGGAAAATTCTTGACCCTAGCGGGACTCGAACTCGGACCCCTCGGTCATCCAACCTATAGCCAGTCGCTATGCCTACTGCGATATCCCGGTTCTGTAACAGAATGAGTAAGAGAATCCGTTTTTGATTACTTGGGATCTATTATTTCAGAACAAAGGAAAAATTAGACAACCAAACAAATGTTGACACCAAAGACAAATTTAAAATCACAAATATAACTGAAGAAATACAAGGTTACCAACATAATTTAAAGAAAAATTGTATGGAAAGAATGGAAAGACACAGCCTTCCACAACTAGTATATTGTTACCGATCAAGAGGAAGACGAGAATTAGGAAGATCAGAATGATGACAGAAGACCAAGACACACTGGAATTCATAGGAATTAAACATGAAAAGTTGACGACGATGAAGATAATCACTTACAAGAGCCCAAAACGAAACTAAATGCAGCAGAACTAAGGATGTGTTACATGGAATTAATGAGATGAAAATTCTTGCTTCTCCTGCGTAAGACATTATTGTGCAATTGACTCATCCAGCTCTCCAGTATCATGAAGTTCTTTTCTATCATCTTGGATATACGTGTAAAGCCCGGCAGTCCGCTGAAAGGCAACACTTCCTTATATCCTATAGGATAAAGGTAAAGGTAAAAGCTGTCATTGTAACAGGCCATGAAGGCCCATAGGGTGGTGAGACGTCCAGGCCCCTACATTTTCTCTCGACAATCGGCTGAAGATAGCGGCAAGTTTGTCAGGCTTACGCGCCGGCCGCCGATAACCACAAGAAAGATTCCTAGTACTCATTTCTGTTAGAGGTTTTGTCAACCCCAGGGCCATAATGCGAGCGGAAGTATTAGGTAAATCGAAAAAATCTACCTCATCGGGACTCGAACCCGCGGCCTGCGGGCTTGTAGCATAGTGCTTCAACCAACAATCTTCATAACTACCGCTGCGAGAACCTCAAATCCTACATTTCAGTATCATGTTTTTAGGCTTATATTGGCAATCCGACACTGGATAAAAGTCTCTAAGGGAAGATGGGAAACCTCGCGTGAAGCTAAGGGATGCAGTGGGGAACCACTAATATAATGCAACGTATTTGCTTGATGGCTTAATTTAGTTGGCACACTGTGTACCCGGAAAATCATAAAATAGTGGAAAAATATCACAGATTCATGTTCTTCATTGGTTCGTCACAAAACAATGCGGTTTTAGATTGAACATATGTTAATCCGAGAAAGGAAATTACGCCAGGTTTGTCGGGAATAATTTGCTCTCAGACAACAGTTACTTAACCTGAAAGATTTGCATATACGCGCTCGTATTTCTGCCGGTAGACGTACAAGGAGCATTTCACTAAACGTCATATTATTTGGTAAAGGATACTGAGTATTCTGAGGCCATCCTTATAAAGTGCTCATACATTATGCTGATAAAGGAAAAAAAAAAGGTTTTCTTTAAAGCTTTGCTTCAATAAAATCTTAGAAGGGCGATGAATAAGAATCCTGGATTATAGCAACTTTGATCACCCTATTCCAAATACGGAAAACTGATAATTAGAATGATCAAGCCAAGAAGGATGAGATGGTCGGGGAATGTAGCACGAATGGGGAAGAGTAGAAATGCCTATAGGATATTGATGGGAAAGCCAGAAAGAAAGAGGCCACTGGGAAGACGAAGGCGTAGGTGGGTGGGCAATATTAAAATGAATCTCAGAGAGATATGATGGGATGGTATGGATTGGATTGATCTAGCTCAGGATAGGGATCAGTGGAGGGCTCTTGTGAACACGATAATGAACCTTCGGGTTCCATAAAAAGCTGGGAAATTCTACAGTAGCTGCACAATTGGAAGCTTCTCAAGAAGGGCTCAGCTCCATGAGTGAGTGAAGGCGCAGTGTGTCTCCCCGGTGAAGCCTGAAACTTTCCATTCTTCTCAGGACCTATGATCTATCAGTCTGAACTATAATACGAGAAATATTCGTGCTTTTTTTGCGGGTTTCTTCAGTATCTACAGGTGCCTGTCCTGAAGTCCGGCTACCTCTGCATTTGTGTTTTCACCAAACTATCCTGCTATTTCATCGTCTTCTTTATAAGTCTCATAACAAAGCGAGGAACATAAAACGACCCAACCAGTACGACTAGCACGACTGCCCTTGCATCACATTGAAATGTTTGTGAGTCGGATTACTGCTAGACGGCCTGCCCTACCCTCTCTTTATCGAGACGTGCGGCGTCATGACTTGCAGTTCTGGGTCTTCGGCTGCTGTTTTCATTCTCTTCACTGGCCTTGTTTCCGTCTGTTTTTCGTTCACTTTTCTTCATACAACGTCTGTTTCCTAGGAGACGCCAGCGTTCCCGAAGCCGTAGGTTGTTTTAACATTGTATTCTGAGGAACCCATAAATACTGGGTACCGGATGAGAGAGTTCTTTTTTTATCATTAGAATTTAGAAGGTTTCAAACTGGCGCTGCGAAACTATTAAACGGAAATTTGTTTACACATAAAATAGTTCCATTTCTGTAGTTTTTTTTTTCAATTCATTCTTACCTCTAGACCCAGTTCTGCCTCAGTCTATTATATCTCTTCATTTACTTCGTATTTTCAGATTCCAATAACTCAAAGAGTTCAGGGTATCTGTCCTCGCCCCCCACTCAACTGTAACTAACCCCAGGGGGGCCGAGTCCTTCTTGAGAAAATAATTGCTAAGCTAGTCAACAATTTCCAGAATTTTATGGAACCCGACAGTTCATCACCCTGGCATCAAAAGCCGGCCACAGGTCCCTGTCCTGTTCCATATATATCCATTTACATTTTTTATGTATTGATTGTGTTGTCTCAGCATCGGGACTATACACCACTGAACAATAAAAGCTATCCCTGTAACAGGCTGTGGAAGCACAGAGGACTGTGAGACGTCGAGGCTCCCACATTTTCTAGACAGTCATGTCACATATGGCCGTAAGGTTGTCAGGTAGATTCCTGGCACTCATTTCTGTTAGAGGGTCAGTCTACCCAAGAACCATAGTGAGGCCGAAAGGATTAGGTCAATTGGAAAATCCAATGATCTCATCGGAAATGGAACCCGCGACTTTCCGGTTTGTAGCATAAAGTTTAATGAAAGTGGAGACGTCTTTAGAATGAGCATTGGCAAGGAAAACCGAAGTACTTGGAGATAACCGGTCCCAATGACATTCCGTTCATAAAATCCCCATGTCCTGACCTGGTATCGAAGCCAGCCTCGTTTGCGAACCGGAGAATATATTGCATGCTACATTCATGTGAACTTCATGATTCATCTGTACATCATCTCCGCGCATAAGCTCCTACCATGAAGTCCATTCCTCGGCTATAAATGGAGGTGAATGGTCTGCTTCATGCTCTGGCCCTTCTCCGCCGGAGGAAAGATCCACCGGTGCTGGGGAGAGGGCACGAAATTTTTCGCGACCGTCCAGCTGGTAGCCAGTCACTGCACCACGTGAGACGTCTCAAAGACTACTTACTATGAAAAAAAAAAAAACAAATCAAGTAACTAACTAACTATGAAACTAACTCTATGGAGTCTAGTCCTTCTTGAAAAGCCACCAGTTGCTCAGCTACTCAAGAATTTCCCAACATCTTATGGAGGCCGTACGTTTATTATCGTGATCATAAGAGCCCTCTACTGGTTTCCATCCTGAGCCAGATGAATCCAGGGCATACCACCCACCCCATATCTTCAAGATAAATTTTAGTATTTTCCTCCTACCTACGGGTAGACTTTCCTAGTGTATGCTATACTATATACTGCAGAAAACTGTATCTCGGACCTCAAAGAAAACACAGGGAGAAACTATTGTTTGTTTAAAGTCAACAGAGGAGAGTTATACAAGCGAAATAAGAGCCATTTCCCTTCGTAATTTAATTCATACCATAGTTTTAAATTAACTCGTGTCCCCCACCCTCGCCTTAATTTGCGCTTCACTATTTGCCGAAGCCCCGCCCCGGGGCTTAATAACGCCTGTAATTTGGCGGAATAAACTAGAGTCCAATGAAGGAATCAATGGTCTGTAAGGTCCAAGTCTGCCACCGAAAGATTAAATATCAGTAACGAAAGTTATTTTTACGCAGTCGATCTTTCTGAACTGAAAAAGGGGGGAAGAATATTCTCGGGTCATGAGCTGGACGGACGTTGCAGCTGTGGTAGCATTGCGGTTGGCTAGGGATAATGTGTCATCCAGTGA